ACACAGACAAAATCGAATGAATCTCCCCGTACAACATGGAAATATACACAACCACACTTTTTTTTGGGTCTTTTGTTTGTGATGGAAATTTACACCGCCACCCTTTTTTTTTTCTTTGTATGCCCTGCCTCTGCCTTTGGTCCCCCTCCACTGCCGCAGCTTAGCTGCGGGGGGTCCACTTGTTTTTTTTAAGAATTAAAAAGGGCGACAGCCTTGAGATATGATCATCGAAGCGAGCGGCCCTAGGTAATTCAGAATACGAGAATTCTAGTATTTTACTCATCTGCTGCCAGTGAAATTCGAACTCGGAGTCAGGTTTGTTTTAGGGGCGCATGAACTGAGCTAGGCCGGTTGCTGCTTCTCTGTTTTTTTTTTTTGGTTTTTTTTTTGGTTTTTTTTTTGGTTTTTTCTTTCAGTTCGTGCTTCTCTGTTCTTAGATCCCCACCAATAGACTGGACCATCCAGGACTGAAAAAAAAAAAAAAAAAAAACATGCAACAGTGCAGTGGTGCCTGGTCTTATCAGCACCGCTAGCATCCGCTCGGGTTGTTCTCAGTAATCCCAAACAAACAAACAAACAAACAAAAAACAAAACAAACAAACAAACAAAAAAAAAAAAAGAAAAAAAAAAAAGCAATAATAACTATTAATAAGTGCTCGTGGTTGTCAATTGTCACTATTGTTCAGCAACTACCGTCTTCCCCTGAACGCAACGCACCCTGATAATGAATGTATAGAAGCTATATTTCCAGTCAAGTACAGCCAAAATGAGGGTGCGCTGTGTTTGGGGGAAGCCGATAGCCACTTATATTGCTGGTGACAGTCTGTTACCATCATCACCTACGGTCTTCACTCGAATACTGTATGTAGTCTGAATGTTGCTCAAGATACAGTGCATTCTATGCCGTACCGACATTGCCCACGTTGTTGAAAGGCAATCCAGACCATTCATCATCATTAATGTGTGGCAAGGAATTAACAACTTTAACCCGTTCCGGAGGCGAGTTCACAAATGCCAATGATGAGCAGGGCCCTGTGCACCTGTCCAGCAAGTAGAGTCACATTCATTCTCTCACCACATTCCAGACGAGTCCACATTGCTCTGGCTATCATTTGCAGTGATTCACTTTCTTGTAATCGTGGCGGAAGTACATATCAATATCAATTAGATCATTATCCCGTCACGCAACTCACATTTTTTCATGGCTAGGATCCTGACGTCCAGACCGCCGTCCAGACGGTCTGGATTCATTCAGTCCAGACTCGAGACGTGCGGTCCAGAAGGTCCGGATCTACCAAATTTCAAGGGGGAAAAAAAAAAAAGGGTCCAGGACCCTTCCCCACTGAGGAGCCAAGCCCCCAAAATTGTTTTGGAGGTTTTTCAGGCCCGTTTTGTTTTTCTGGGGGTTCGGGACATGGTCTATCTCTATAATAATTGGTTAGACATACCCATTTAAAAAAAAAAAAAAAAAAAGACATACCCATTTTTTCAATTATTGTTAACTAATAATTAAATTCATTACTTTTTTTTTCAATTTTTAAGGGGTTTTTTTTATAGTTTTTGACTTTTAACTCAAGTTTGGTTAGGAATTCTGACATGTCTCTGAGGCAAAAGTGGTTTGTATTGTTACTCTGCGTAACATACTTTTTTAAAGAATTTTCAGTTTTTTTTTTTTTTTTTTTTTCAATGGTCCAGACATATCCGGACCTGCTTACTGGTCCGGACCACCCGGAACCATACATACCCGGAGGTCTGTATGTCCAGACCCGACCGGACTTGAGCTTTCCGGGTCCGGCGTAGCCATGCTTTTTTTTTTTTTTTTTTTTTTTTTTTTTTTTTTTTAACGGAAGTCACTTTTCCACCATTGCTACGGTTTCCCAACACTCAGCTTCTCCGAAAACACAACACAGAAGCCGAACGTTTTCCTTCTTATGAGAAGTATTATGACAATATGGTACACATTCTTACTTAGGTCGGTACTGTTCTAGCGAACGTTGTTTGGAAGCAACTGATTATTCATGGAAGCACAGTTACATGGCCACTTCATGGCCATTTGGTAAACTCGAAGACCTTGTAGACGATTTCAATGCCTGTCGGTATTTGTGACGCGAAGAGGAGTACGTTGATTGCATTCAGCAGAATGTGTGCGTTGCGGGCAGCATTGTTTCCCTTTTGCATGGCGGGGACGAGCGAGGCTGCAAGGGCCCAGAGGACCGTAATACCTGTGACACATGGACGAGTAGGAAAGTTGGGAAACAGGATCGACACACAGGTCACGTCGTCAATTAGATCAATGATTGAGAGTAGTGTCCCATAACAAAGCTTTCATTTCAATCATTTGCACGATTACATTGAATTAATTGAATCGAGTTGTGTCAAATTGTCAATCGATCTAAAGCTGACCCACCCACCAGAGAAGGGGGTTAATCCTGACAGGGTCAGAGAAGGGGGTTAATCCTGACAGGGTCAGAGAAGGGGGTTAATCCTGACAGGGTTTTTTAGGGGGGCATGCGCCATCGACTGATGGGTTATAACTTATAAATGAGTAGGTAACCGCAAACAAGTTTACACTTCAGGGTTCAGGTTTAGACGGGCGGTTTGATTTTTTTTTTTTTTTTTTTTTTTTTTTTTTTCCTTTTTTTTTTTTTTTTTATGTTTTTTTTTTTGAAAGATCAAGACCAAACCTGCAGAACCCTTAAATTTTTGGCGGATTTGAGTAATTTTTCCGAGCGCTAAAAATCGCGAATGTTTCTGATCTCGTGCTTGACCAAATTTATTCAAAATGTGGAGGCTGCCTGTTGGCTCAGTATTTGGGGGGCGCTGGTTGTCATTTTTTTTTTTTTTTTTTTTTTGAAGTCCTCTTGCGAGGCCTCTATCCCAGTGGCGGTAAGAGAACCACCAGGATTGAGGTTTCGGCTGTTGGGCTGCTCCATCTACGGGTGAGGAGCGGCACCTGCTGGAAACCGGGTCCAGCGTCCCAAAGATACAACCTTTGGGTAGGCGGTTTGATATTGTAAGATTGGGGAAGGGAAAGGGAAGGGGAAGGGAAAGGGAAGGGATGCCAGAAGTCACGAGTTCGAGTCCCAAACGGAAGGGAAGGGAAAGGGACGCCAGAAATAGCAGGTTCAAATCCCAAAGGGAAGGGGAGGGAAGGGGAGGAGAGGGGAGGGGAGGGGAGGGGAGGGGAGGGGAAATCTTCATCCTCCTCACTGTTTGCCTATGGACAAAGCTGAGTGGAAAGATAAGATTTTTAAAAAACTTTATGAAGTCCGATGAGCATTAGACAAGAGCTATCCGTTCTGATAGCAACGGAAATCGGATCGTATGCGGACGTTGTGAAGTGAAATTTTGTAACTTTGGATACTGTGCAGTGAAATCACTCACCTGCTCCTGCATAGAGGTGGGGACCTGGAAATAAGCGCCCTGTGCGAAGGTATGTGTTGACCCCTCCTTCAATTGACAGCGTAACACCAAGGCCCAGCAGCAACGACCCCATGTTGTTATGTCTGTCCTTAAAGCCTCCTTTCACCAGCTGCTTGCGAACCTGTGAAATTGCATGTGCACACAAACACACACACACACACACACACACACACACACACACACACACACACACACAGATGCCCATGCACACACACACACACACATGCCCATGCAGACAGCGATGCATGCCCGCACACACACAAGCATACTTAGAAAGTTATTTGGTTCTCATGGCGGTCAAAATTTTCATTAATAACCACTTTCTACCACTTCGCGGTGTCTAGTAGTGACACACATGGTAAGATTTTGCGGCCTCGAGTGACACAACCGCTGCAAAGTGTTCATCTTTCTCACCCATCCCAGGGTGGGGTGGTGTCGGCTCCATTCTTTTCTTGGGCAGTCAGCGAAGGAAGCTGACAAGCGGAAAAAGGGATTTGAACCTTCAACTTCTATTTGTGTACACCATGTGCTGGTGGTGTTTCTTTCGGGGTACTCTCCTTGATTCCCAGTGCCATGAGGACCTTCAAGATGTGCCAAATAGTTGGTGGCTGGTTGTTAGAAGTGCCTGGCCCAGCAACCACACACCGATGTTGGAATGTCTGTCTCTATAGCCTACTTTCACCAGCTCCTTGCCAAGTGGGGCAAACCTATTCACTTACTAACTGACTCACTCACTCACTCATTCACTCGCTCTCATTCACTCACTTCACTCACTCACTCGCTCACGCAAACACGTGAGCACACTTCTTGTGAGTTCTTTCCTTCTCGTTCCTTCTATAGATATGCTCTTTATGTTCCCCAGTGTGTATGGTGGTGTTTCTTTCCCTGTTTTCTCCTTGATCTCTACTTGCAATCAGGACGCTTGGAGGAAGCAAGTCGCTGGTCATTACAAGTGCTTTGAACACTACCAGGACGCTGCCGTGTGTCCAGGTGTCTGTGTATTTATGTGTTCCCTTGCGGTGACAGACATTCCTCAAAGTGACGACTCCTTATCTTGTCGTCAATGGGAATCTGATGTCACAGGAGTATATATATACTGTTGAGGGTTCAGCCTCCTGATGAGTCGGTGAAACTCCGACGAAACAGTTTGTCACAGCCCCTCGTTTGTTGTCCTCTTCTCTCTCTCTGCCTACGGTTTACCGGGCAGTTCTATTTGTGACGATAT